ATCGCTGCTTGCTTTAAAAGTAGCACAATTCATTATGTCAAACCTTGGAAAGTATCTAGATATCCCTGCCCTAATGTCAAAGGAACTGGCAACTGAATATGTGTCGCTGTTTGATGTCTACTGTATGTCTGGACCGTTGCGTAAAAAGGAGGGTTTCTGCCCCGTTACTTCTCCGCTGTTTTCTTGTCCCTCTTGTCTTGTTCGGCCAAACTGTATACAGTTAAATCGACCGGACTTCTTTCTGCAGATGTGAGCGTCCTTAACAACGGTCAATACATCGTTGACAGCGCTCTGTCTGTTCTGGATTAACAACGTGTCACGTGTTCTGAATTGACCAATCAGAATCGAGTATTCAACTAAACCATGTAATAAAAATGTATAAAGTCTACAGAATGCTTGAGTGAATTTGAGTTCAATGGCCGCAATGAAAGTTCGCTGTAGTTTGATCTACAGTATGATTAATGGTTACCAAAGTTCAACATTTAGCCGTCACATAGACGTCAGACTCGGGGTCAGACAGTGTGTGCAAGGGGAAGTATGTCGTAAATGTAGTTGAGTGACTAATTCAAACCCATTGTCATGCATCAAAACTGCTTAAACGAAATGATTTAGATTATCCAAAGAATGGTGAGTAGTCTGATTTAGAAATGGATGAAAATGAATCAGGATGTGATTGCAGAAAAAGGCAGTACATCCAAATAATGGCATGGTTTAACACAGGGGTGTCAAACTCAAATACACAGTGGGCCAAAATAAAATAAATGGGTACTAGTCGAGGGCCGGACTGGTTCAATGTTTATTGCAGAACTTGAAATGAACTTATTGCACATATTAAACCTGGAACTAACAAAGCTTCAATTATTGCCTATAAAAACAACATTAAATAATTTCCACAGGCCAACAACAGCTTAAAAAAAACAATTTCCCTCAAAGAGAAAACCAAACATGCCCTGTTGTCTCAAGAAACAAAGTGCAGAAAGAAACATCCATTAAACTCAGTGTGCTGCTCTGTGATGCTAGTTCAAGCCAGATACTTGGCATCTCATCTTGGGTGCAAGTTCATCAATGTTTGGGGTCAGGCTCTGAGCTGAGGAAACCCTCAGGATTGAGTGAAGGTGTGCGTGCAATATACCGTCGGGCCAGATCTAATAGTAATTAGAAATGATCCTGCGGGCCGAAATTAAATCCACCAAGGGCCTGATTTGGCCCCCGGGCCTTGAGTTTGACACATGTGGTTTAACACATAAAGTTTTATAGCAGGGTTTAGCTCATGCACCATCATACTTTATGTGTCAGCAATTTTCATTCTTGCAAATTGTTCCCAAAAAAATGTAGCTTTTTATTATTGCTAATGATTTATATGTGCACGCATTTAAACCAGTTGACTTTGCATCTGTGGTGCATTAGCTCAGCACATGGGACCTAACTTTCATTTCTTCAGCTGCTAAGCCTGTCAGGCAGAATCTGCTGAGTCATGCTCGGTGGTAATATATTATGCAGATGTTCTGGGCTTATGTAATGCAGGATTCCTGACAGTCTCGTGACCCTCTGGAGGTCTCTGGTGATGAACAAGCTTACAGGAATCCTCTATTACAAACACATTCACTGTTACTCTTTAGGGAGTGTTTAAAGGTCACCTCTTATGCAAAATCCACTTTTTCATGTCTCTTCTACATCAACATGTGTCCCCTCTTCTTCATGTCTCTTCTACATCAACATGTGTCCCCTCTGTGGAAAGAGATTCTGAAAGCTTCAGGAACAAAGATTCTCTCACTTTTTGTCCTGATCCATTTATATAAAAACCTGTCTGAAAATGAGCTGATCAGATGATGTCATAACGATGTTTGACCACCTTATCACCTGAATCTCCTCCTAGAGCACCATTGTGTTCTTTTTAACCAAATCTCTCTCAGAGGGGCGTGGGGAGGGGCTCCTTATTTTCATCTAAAGTAACAGACAGAGAATCAGCTCTTTTGAAACAGGGCTGAAACAGAGGGGATTATGGGATGCTACAATGATCTGTTTGGTGTTTCAGCCAATCAGAGACATGTTCTGTATATATCTGAGAGCCATAATATATTGATGAAAAACAGTATGATAGGGGACCTTTAAGCAAACTTCTGTGATTAAGTCTGTTTTAAACGTAGAGCCCAGCCTCTGTAGACCTGGATATGACTCACTTTGGATAAAAAACAAAGTGAGTCAAAAACATCCTTAGTTTGGCCTAAAAGAACTGGCAGTGGGAACACTATTTATTCTGTCTACTCATCACCAGAGGTGGGAAGTGATGGAGTACAAATACTTCGTTCCTGTACTTAAGTGCATTTTCCTGGTATCAGTACTTTACTCCACTACTTATTTTTCTGACGACTTTTTACTTTGACTTCTTACCTTTTGAACACAAATACCTGTACTTTCTACTTCTTACATGTTGAACACAAATACCTGTACTTTCTACTTCTTACATGTTGAACACAAATACCTGTACTTTCTACTTCTTACATTTTGAACCCAAATACCTGTACTTTCTACTTCTTACATGTTGAACACAAATACCTGTACTTTCTACTTCTTACATGTTGAACACAAATACCTGTACTTTCTACTTCTTACATGTTGAACTCAAATACCTGTACTTTCTACTTCTTACATGTTGAACCCAAATACCTGTACTTTCTACTTCTTACATGTTGAACTCAAATACCTGTACTTTCTACTTCTTACATGTTGAACCCAAATACCTGTACTTTCTACTTCTTACATGTTGAACTCAAATACCTGTACTTTCTACTTCTTACATGTTGAACACAAATACCTGTACTTTCTACTTCTTACATGTTGAACACAAATACCTGTACTTTCTACTTCTTACATGTTGAACACAAATACCTGTACTTTCTACTTCTTACATGTTGAACACAAATACCTGTACTTTCTACTTCTTACATGTTGAACACAAATACCTGTACTTTCTACTTCTTACATGTTGAACACAAATACCTGTACTTTCTACTTCTTACATTTTGAACACAAATCCCTGTACTTTTTACTTCTTACATGTTGAACACAGATACCTGTACTTTCTACTTCTTACATGTTGAACTCAAATACCTGTACTTTCTACTTCTCACATGTTGAACACAAATACCTGTACTTTCTACTTCTTACATGTTGAACACAAATACCTGTACTTTCTACTTCTTACATGTTGAACTCAAATACCTGTACTTTCTACTTCTTACATGTTGAACCCAAATACCTGTACTTTCTACTTCTTACATGTTGAACACAAATACCTGTACTTTCTACTTCTCACATTTTGAACACAAATACCTGTACTTTCTACTTCTCACATTTCCCAAACAGGCTGGTTCCTTTAGTTTGAATGTGTGTTTGGTGGCGTGATCATTATTATTTAGAGTCATTGCGTGCCTATTGATTTGAACACGATCCGTGTATCCATCATTTCCTGGTCTTCTCTAAAGAAGAGGGACCAATGAAAACGTTGTCATGTTGCCGTTGTTCAGCATGGAAACATTCATTAGCTAACAATGACATTATTGTTCTATTAATATAAAGGGAGGTCAGGTACTCTTTAAAACAGCTGCTAGTTATGGGTACTTTTTACTGAAGTACATTTCAAAGCCCTCTTTACTTTGACTTGAGTAAAGAAGTTTAGTCAGTACTTCTACTTTTACCAGAGTATCTTTAAACACGAGTATCTGTACTTCTCCTTGAGTAAAGGATGTGTGCACTTTGGCCATCTCTGCTCATCGCTATGACACGTGCAAGAAAGATATTCAGATTTCTTATTTCTTAACTTGTGTCTCAAAGGAATGTCCTTTTGATGACCTTTTGACCCATGATGCTGACTGAAATGCCTTTCAAAATTAAAATAATCTCTGTCCATTGACTAACTAACACAGTTGATAAGAGGCTATTGGTTTTCTTTCACCCACTCAATGTTTATCCAACAAAGTACATACTATTCTGCCTTTCAAGGAGACACAAATCCAGCACTTTGGAGGCTTAAAATTACCATGAGCTTTGGCAAAATTAAGTTTAAAATATTGTTGAATAGCTCAAATCTACTGGAATTTGGATTATTGCGAAAAAAAAATACATATCTTCACGTTTTCTTCAGAAAGACCATCTTCACAAATGGACACTGCTCTTATATAAAAGCTAACGTTAGGCGATAAACAAATTCAAACATTGTTGCACGACTGGTGCAAACTCAATTAGCCACATGCTAGTAACTGCCTTTTTTAAGACACGTTTAATCTTTAAAATGAGCTACTTACAGACTTATTTGACTTTATTACTGCCCCCTTTAAAACCATGAAACATATATCCTTGCAAATGTCAACTTTTTAAACGTGATCTTCCCTAAATGTGTCCTCAGACTTATTGTCAAAGCTAATGAGCTCATCGTCCATCTGTGTTATAAAAGAGGGACTGAACGATTGTGCCAGGTCAGGGGCATCTGCAGTCAGAGACTCTGCAGATTGATAAAGCCTTATCTTACATAGTTCATTCACACACACACACACACACACACACACACACACACACACACACACACACACACACACACACACACACACACACACACACACACACACACACACACACACACACACACACACACACACACACACACACACACACACATATCCAGTGACCTCTTTGCCTCTTTAAACCCTTTTTCGCCCAGCTGTGTCTCTCTGTTGTCGTTTATTTAAGTGCACTGTCTGGTCAACTTGTTCTCACGTTCTCTCTACGTGTCGAAGAACAAATAGAAGAAGAACAAAGTGTGTCTGATGGACTAAATTTGGGAAATGGCACAAACATAAAAGTCACATTTGGGGCCAGAGGACACAGATAAAGAGGGAGGGAGAGGGGTGGACTCTCTCTCCCTCTCTCCCTCTCTCCCTCTCTCTCTCTCTCTCTCCTGGGATCACGGCCTGTGTGTATAAAGGAGAGTTCAGCCTCTCCTGCCGCTGCCACTGCTGAGTCAGGCTGCCTTCAACTAACTTCCTCCACTCATGAAAAGCTGATCCACACAACCTCCACACTCACAGGAAAGTTGAGTGCTCCGCAGACTCTTGGACATCAGGGAACCTTTCTGGTCCAGATCAGTTTCACTCAGAGCGAGAAGATGCAGGACAAAGTTTTCTTCACTCACAGCAAAGCAGCAGTAGCACTGTGCATTGTGCTGCTAATGCTGACTCAGCAGGTGAGTGCATTGTCCACAGATAAATGAGCCTCATGTTATAACAAAAAAATCAAATATTTGCTTTAAGTTGTGTGAAAAATGTATGAGATGTATCTGGATAACAGTATAGGGTGAAATACAAAATGAAAGGGTACTTTAATGCCTAAACACAACTGAGAAAATGCAAGTTACTCCAAGTTTATCGTTATGAGTTGTTGTTTTTAGTTATGTTTCATGTTAGAAATATGCAAATGTATCTAGTGGAACAAGGACATAAAATAAAAGTACTAGTGCTATAATTGGACTGTTGCAATGCACAGATAATAAGTTATTTTTTAAACTTTAAAAGTCCTTTTACTGCTTGATTCAAGATCAAAAGAAGTGCTTTTATTTGATATGCACCCTAATCTAATGAATTTTTTTGGAATCTTAACTTGATTATTTCATCAAAAATGCTGATGCTGATTTGTACTGTTGAATGTTTTACAGTAAAGTCTGACTTGCATTGGGTGCCTCAACATTTAGTCTGTACTGTGAAAACACAATAATTATACAATTAATGACCTGCATTTTAGTCTTACATACAGAATAAGCATAAGGTTCAAGGTTCAAGGCTTTTATTGTCATATATACATAGCTACAGTGTAGTTATGACAATTAAAATCTTAGGTCACGGGCTCCTCCAACAGTGCAACACAATAAAACAGATAATTAATCATGAATGCTCAGTGCCAGATCGTCCTTGTTTGGTTATTTTCTAATGACTCTTCCCTGTCTGTGTGTGTGTGTGTGTGTGTGTGTGTCTGTGTGTGTGTGTGTGTGTGTGTGTGTGTGTGTGTGTGTGTGTGTTTGTGTGTGTGGTGTGTGTGTGATTCCAGGTGTGTGCAGGTCCGTTGCCCCCTCAGGTGAGGTCTGAGCAGAGTCCAGATGTTAGCGTCCGCTCTCTGAGGAGGACGGCCCGCATGACTCCGCTGTGGAGGATCATGAGCAGCAAACCGTACGGCGCTTTCTGCCAGAACAACTACGAGTGCTCCACAGGACTCTGCAGGTAACAAAAACACAAGATATCACTTTAGTAAGGCAAGGCAAGGCAAGGCAAGGCAAGTTTATTTATATAGCCCCTTTCAACACAAGGCAATTCAAAGTGCTTTACAAAAATGAAAGACATTAAAGGGGACCTATCATGCAAAATGCACTTTTGTACGTCTTTTATACATGAATATGTGTCCCCGGTGTTCCAGGGAACTCACCAAGTGTCAGAAAACACAACCCTCTCTATTTTCCTCCATACCCAAATCTCTAAAAAAGGGGCTGCAACGGATCTGATAAAAACTGATCCAGATTTGAACACTGTCCTGACGTCAGGACGGTGGCGCTACGGCTATTGGGCCAACTCCACCAATCAGGAGGAGACAGCCACGGCCATTGCCGTTCGAAAGCGCTGGAGACGCTGTAGTACATATGCCAGGCCTGTAGATGGTGCTGTTCTCACTGAATCAGCCCTTGCAGAGCAGAGCTAAAAAAAAGTGCAAATTGAGCGAAATGAGGCATGGCTAAAATGCATGATCTGTTTGGTATTTTGAAAAGAAAAACGTATAAATATACCTTATATAGGTATGGCCCTACAATATATCATTTAAATATACCATGATAGGTCCACTTTAAGAAAATGGCATTTAAAAACAGTCATTAAAAAGCAAAGATAATTAAATAAACATTAAAGGTGGGGTATGTAATTTATTTCAGAAACACTTTTTGTTATATTCCATGGAATGCTCTTATCATCCCGATAGCAATGAATAAATTAAATGCTTTGACAATAAATACATTAATAAATGTCATCTGTGGAAGCCGTAGTACTGTAAAAAGCACGACCAATCATTTTAGCCGGCCCGGCTAAAATAACTGGATGGCCTACCTGCCTGTCAGCCTTCCATCTGTGCACAAACTTATCTCGTGCCCTCATTGGTCATGTGCGCGTTCGTGTGTGTTGGAGGAGGGGCTCTGTAAGGAAGTCTGAAGGAAGGGGCAGATTTTTTCCGGCTGCGTATTTTCAAATTCTAGCGCACTCGAGCTGGTTTCTCCATTCTTACCTACCCCACCTTTAAAAGACAAAATACATGAATAAAAGTTACAGTGAGATGTGAATAGTTCAATTAAAAGCAGCGGAAACAAGAAAAGTCTTCAGCCTGGATTTAAAAGGAGTGAGAGTTGCAGCGGACCTGCAGGTTTCTGAGAGTTTGTTCCAGATATTCGGAGCATAGGTGAAATTATTGGTGTTAGAAGATAAAGTACAGGTAAAGAGCTTCTCACTTAGGTCAAGGTCAGTGTATATATAATGTGTAATTTGTACAATCAACACTGCTTTTATGTTTCTTTGGTTAACGGTTATCCAAAGCGCAGTTAGCAAAATTAGCAGGCTAGCATATTAGCTTACATGTTCCATTATGGATTACATTTCTGTTATTTAACTTAATTATTTTAACTAAAATTGAGAGGAAACAATAAGTAGCTGAAATGATTAGTGTAAGAAGATCAAGTTAATGTACAAAGCTTCTAATTTAGGTCAGTGTAAATATAATGTATTATTTGTAAAATCAACGCTGCTGTTATGTTTCTTTTGCTAAAAGTTATCCAAAGCGTCGTTAGCCGGTTAGCATATTAGCTAAATGTTCCGTTAAGGATTACATTTCTGTTATTTAACTTAATTATTTTAATTCAAATTAACTTGCATTCAGTTTAACATACAACCATGTTCATAAAGAAAGAGTTAAATAAAATGACGTTGTAAGAAACATGCTTAGAAACTGACATAAAGAGTGGAAGTGATTAGGCTACAAGTAAGCTAATCAGAAACGTGCTAATTCGTAGTTTTTACTCTCTAAAAATGTTTAATTCAAGATGGTGTGTGTGTGTGAGAAAGTTGGGAGGCATTACAATGTATGATACACATGAAACATTAAGTTACTTTGACTTTGTGCGAAACAAATCTTTTAAATGTATAGCTAAGTTAAAGTAGTCTGTAACACTATATGTTATTTCAGATTTTGCATCGTATTGCATTGCAAATTATTACTTGTACCAATGAACCAGTTGAGTACCAAAGCTATAAAGGAATAAGCTAGGAAATGACACAGGTGTATAAAAACTACTGTACAATGGAGATGGTTCTTGGATATAGTCAGAGATGGCAAAAGTACACACATCCTTTACTCAAGTAGAAGTACAGATACTCGTGTTTAAAAATACTCTGGTAAAAGTAGAAGTACTGACTAAACTTCTTTACTCAAGTAAAAGTAAAGAGGCTTTGAAATGTACTTCAGTAAAAAGTACCCATAACTAGCAGCTGTTTTAAAGAGTACCTGACCTCCCTTTATATTAATAGAACAATAATGTCATTGTTAGCTAATGAATGTTTCCATGCTGAACAACGGCAACATGACAACGTTTTCATTGGTCCCTCTTCTTTAGAGAAGACCAGGAAATGATGGATACACGGATCGTGTTCAAATCAATAGGCACGCAATGACTCTAAATAATAATGATCACGCCACCAAACACACATTCAAACTAAAGGAACCAGCCTGTTTGGGAAATGTAAGAAGTAGAAAGTACAGGTATTTGGGTTCAACATGTAAGAAGTAGAAAGTACAGGTATTTGGGTTCAACATGTAAGAAGTAGAAAGTACAGGTATTTGTGTTCAACATGTAAGAAGTAGAAAGTTCAGGTATTTGTGTTCAACATGTAAGAAGTAGAAAGTACAGGTATTTGTGTTCAACATGTAAGAAGTAGAAAGTACAGGTATTTGTGTTCAACATGTAAGAAGTAGAAAGTACAGGTATTTGTGTTCAACATGTAAGAAGTAGAAAGTACAGGTATTTGTGTTCAACATGTAAGAAGTAGAAAGTACAGGTATTTGGGTTCAACATGTAAGAAGTAGAAAGTACAGGTATTTGGGTTCAACATGTAAGAAGTAGAAAGTTCAGGTATTTGTGTTCAACATGTAAGAAGTAGAAAGTACAGGTATTTGTGTTCAACATGTAAGAAGTAGAAAGTACAGGTATTTGTGTTCAACATGTAAGAAGTAGAAAGTACAGGTATTTGAGTTCAACATGTAAGAAGTAGAAAGTACAGGTATTTGGGTTCAACATGTAAGAAGTAGAAAGTACAGGTATTTGGGTTCAACATGTAAGAAGTAGAAAGTACAGGTATTTGTGTTCAACATGTAAGAAGTAGAAAGTACAGGTATTTGTGTTCAACATGTAAGAAGTAGAAAGTACAGGTATTTGAGTTCAACATGTGAGAAGTAGAAAGTACAGGTATTTGTGTTCAAAATGTAAGAAGTAGAAAGTACAGGTATTTGTGTTCAACATGTAAGAAGTAGAAAGTACAGGTATTTGTGTTCAACATGTAAGAAGTAGAAAGTACAGGTATTTGTGTTCAACATGTAAGAAGTAGAAAGTACAGGTATTTGTGTTCAACATGTAAGAAGTAGAAAGTACAGGTATTTGTGTTCAACATGTAAGAAGTAGAAAGTACAGGTATTTGTGTTCAACATGTAAGAAGTAGAAAGTACAGGTATTTGTGTTCAACATGTAAGAAGTAGAAAGTACAGGTATTTGTGTTCAACATGTAAGAAGTAGAAAGTACAGGTATTTGGGTTCAACATGTAAGAAGTAGAAAGTACAGGTATTTGGGTTCAACATGTAAGAAGTAGAAAGTACAGGTATTTGTGTTCAACATGTAAGAAGTAGAAAGTACAGGTATTTGTGTTAGAAATGTAAGAAGTAGAAAGTACAGGTATTTGTGTTAGAAATGTAAGAAGTCAAAGTAAAAAGTCGTCTAAAAATAAGTAGTGGAGTAAAGTACTGATACCAGAAAAATGTACTTAAGTACAGTAACAAAGTATTTGTACTCCACTACTTCCCCCCTCTGGATATAGTGATAAATGTGAACTAATTTCCTTAATATTTCTTATTTTCTCTTCTCTTTAGGGCGGGACACTGCTCCACCAGCCACCGCTCCCCCACAGCGCCGGTCAACTACTAGCAAACCATCTGCATGTTTACATGAGGAGGCGTGTGGTGCAGTGGGTTGTGCGTTGGTGTTCGGATCAGGGGGTCAAACCCCACTGCAGTCAGCATGTCGTTGTGTCCCTGGGCAAGACACTTCACCCCAAATTGCTCCTGTGGGGATTGCCCACAGTATTCAGTATGCAAGTCGCTTTGGATAAAAGCGTCTAACAAGTACCATGTAATGAGTGTCCAGCCATAATCTGGGATGGAGCACATATCCAGGCTTTTATTTGTATTTTTTTAACGGTTTTTATCTTTGTACGTCTAAACAAGTTGCTTTGTACACATCAGGTAGTTATATGCAAGAAAAAGGCGTGTACTGCTGCACTTGTTATATTTCAAAAAGCAAATAGATTAAGACGGTAGGAGGGGAGCTGAGGCATGGGGTAAAGTGCACAAAACGTAAGAAGGGAGTCTTTTATACTTGATGTCACATGGTGTGATTTTGTTTAAATATTTCGTGGTTCAGGGTCCAAACAACTTAAATGACTTGTTTTATACGGCAAAGGACCAACAATCTTTCAGCCCTGATCTCAAAGCTGAGAGTCAAAATGAAAAGACAAGTACTATTTGATATTATCAGAGGCTCTTCCCGGCCAGTTACTGTGGCCTTAGCTCTCTAAATTATATATCGTAGCACAGAAAAGACTTTGAGCCTTTTGGGAGATACTGGCCTTCACATTTTTTCCCTTTTTGTAATCGCTGTCTCGTGTCATGTTTGATAAGTTATCACTTGACTGTTTGCATAGAAGGTTTAATCATTCCTCTGATAATGTGCCAAATGGAAACGTGTCTTTCCAAGAGAAATAATTTGTGTTAGTTTACTGTAGGATAGGATGGCGTAAGAGCATTTTTCCTGATGTCTTATTCATTCTGGCGTCTAACAAAATGTGTTCCCTTAAAGCCAAGACATTTGGGAAATTGAGAATAACTATCACACAAACAGGCTTAAAAACCCAAAGCACCAAAACATATTTTACCGCCTGACAGGCTGCAATCCTAGTTGACTGTCAGAAGCAAAAAGTGACAAAGAGAGGGCAAAGATAGATAAAGCAAAGTAGGGAAAAGGGCATCAAAGAAGGAGCAAAATGGAGAAAAGATCAGAAAAGCAGAGAGAATGATCCAAAGTTACAAGCAATGTTTTAATATCCTTCAGATTATATTTTATTATTACTATAACAAAAGGTTGTGTTGAACATTATTCATTATGCATGCATACAGATTGGTAATGCAGTGATTCTCATATTTTATTTATTTTATCCTCTGTCCAAATTGTACCCATTACTTTTTCTAAAAAATATATATTTGTTTATGATATGAATAATCAATACCCTGAATGGATTTATTTTTTTAGCTTTTCACAGGGGATTTTTTGTTTTTGCCAATAACCAATTTCTCTGAGTGTACAAATATCAGGAACTTATAACGAGCCGCACAACTTTTTTTGCACATCCATCCCCTCTCTTTGATAAGTGTTCGTAGATTTCGCTTGGACTCGCCTGCATAGTTTACTTCATGCACAGAGCAGGTGGTGGCTGATATTTTGTACACTCAGCATGTCTGAGTAATGTTTGAGTATTTATCTTTGTACTGTGTACTGTCTACTGTATGTACTGTATTACCTACATGTAGAAGGCTGGAGAAAAAGTGGAATAAAAGCATTGGAGAAAAAAAATTACCTTCTTTATTTTTGTATTGGAATAACTTATAGTTAAAGGTGGGGTAGGTAATTTTGGGGAAACCAGCTCGAGATCGCTAGATTTTGAAAATACACAGCCGGAAGAAATCTGCCACTTCCTTACAGAGCCCCTCCTCCAACACACACGAACGCGCACATGACCAATGAGGGCACGAGATAAGTGTGTGCCCCGATGGAAGGCTGACAGGCAGGTAGGCCATCCAGTTATTTTAGCCGGGCCGGCTCAGATGATTGGTCGTGCTTTTTACAGTACTACAGCTTCCACAGATGACATTTTTTTATGGATTTTTTTTCAAAGCACTTAAGATATTCATTGCTATCGGGATGTTAATAGCATTCCATGGAATATAACAAAAAGTGTATCTCGAGCCGGTTTCTCAAACAGTCAGTTACCTACCCCACCTTTAACAATAATGGTTTTAATAATCAGTAGCAGGATTACTTAACTATACAGTGTGAAGAAATTAAGAAAAACCTGTGTGTGATACTAACAAATCTCATGAAAAATCAACAGTGCATTGATCGATCTCTTACATTTCTTACTCTTGCATCTATAAACGGCTTTCAAATGATTATATAGCAACAACTTTCATCAAGGCTAAGTCATTCCTTGCTCTAGTTTAGAGCAAACATTACTCATTTGGAAGTAGTGCATTTAATGATGACCTTTTCCGCAGCAGATTAATACACATTTGTCTCTTCAGTGAATATCAGTTTTTAAATGTGCAGTATTTATTTGATTCCCAATAGTATGACCTTTGTTCCAATGACTATTTGTAATACATCCCCATGCTATTAAGTTATATTAAGTTAAACACTTCATTATTGACCTTGGACCAAAGTAGTTATTTTAAATGATACACTCATTGAATACATTTCAGTGATTCAATGAGTCTAGTGAAGGTGAGTTTTACCGAAGAAAGGGAGTACAGTTAAGGCAATGAGAAACATTGAGCAAAATATTCCTTTAAAAACTAATAATAAAAGGATTTAAAGTGGGAGTTGTGTATTTCGTCTTTTATCTGAAATCATTGATGGACTTCTGAACGTCTCTCGCCACTTATCTTTATTGATGAAACTATTACAGAGACCTGGATTTGAACTTTTAACGCAACATTAACCTCAGTTTATCACGTCTTTCTCAGAATATATATGGATATGGATCAAATACACTAAAAGATAGGAACTTTAACACTTTGAAGAAAAAAGACAAATAAATCCTTTTACAGCAGAAGTCTGTTAAATGTTGTGTGATTATTCCAGCTTGAATCTCAACCTCATTTGAAACATCTGCAGAGTTTACCCTGCAGAACGTGACTCATCCATTTTCAGACTCAACACTTTTGCATTTTTTTTGCATGCCCTAACTCGAGACTGAGTCTGCCGTCAGTGTTCAAAAGTCAAACAGCTGATGGCGTTCAGATGTTCGGGCTTTCACAACATGCAGAGGAGAGCCAAGTGTGTGAGGAGAACAAACGCTGAAGGACTTTTCCATTTGACATGAGAATTTGCAGAATCATCGGAAATGTGTGTTTGCATGTCTGTGTTTAATGTTCATACATGTGTTATCTGTCTGCATGTCAGAGATATCCTGGGACAATTTTGTATGCATCATATCCACTGCAGCTCAACAAAACCATTGACTCTCTAAACCAGGGGTGGGGAACCTCCGGCCTCTGGGCCATATACTGACCGCAAGACCATTTGGTACGGCCCTCGAGGTAATTTATAAACACACGCAAAAAAGAAAAAAATTAAAGAAATCTAGACCGCAAAAGAATTAAACAAGCGAGTGCCTGTTTTTCCTGGCCAAGGTCAGGGTCCTTGAACACAACACGAGCCTAACGTGTCATCACGTGGTATATGTCTCGTCTGACAGGGGTGCAGTTCTGACGGAGAGCACCAGAACGCCGCTCCGGCACTTCAGAAATTGCAGTACCCATAAGGAGCCGTACACATGCCGCAGTTTTTGTGTGGCTGTGTCTTTAGTTGAAAGCCCAGTGGCGATCTGTTCATCTGTCATACTGATCACACAGTCAATAACTTTGTTGTTATTAGCATCTGGTTAGCTAGCTATGCTAACGAATATAAGAAGCTTTTTCTACAACCAGTGAGGCAAAGGCACATCTTGATATGATCATTATAGTTATAAAAAAATAAGAGAATAAAGTAAACAGGTATAAAATACTATATGACAGTAAAAAAAAGTTGTTATTAATAAACAAGAATACAGTTTGAGAGGGGAGTGATTTGTAAAATATCCATAAAGAAAAAGAAATCTGCTTACAGTTCTGTTTCATATGGGTGTTGAGAGATGTATCCATAGATCTCTTCAATCTTCCCGGGGGAGCATTAGAGGAGGAGGTTAGGTCACCCCCCCACTTAAAGTGGACCTATCATGCTATATTTTAATAATATAGTGTAGGACCATACCTATATAAGGCATATTTATACTTTTTTTTGTTCAAAATACCAAACAGATCATGCATTTTAGCCATGCCTCATTTTGCTCAATTTGCACTTTTGTAGCTCTGTTTTTGCAAGGGCAGATTCTGTGAGAACAGCACCAACTACAGGCCTGGCATATGTACTACAGCGTCTCCAGCGCTTTCGAACGGCAATGGCCGTGGCTGTCTCCTCCTGATTGGTGGAGTTGGCCCAATAGCCGTAGCGCCACCGTCCTGACGTCAGGACAGTGTTCAAATCTGGATCAGTTTTTATCAGATCCGTTGCAGCCCCTTTTTTTAGAGATTTGGGTATTGGAGGAAAATAGAGAGGGTTGTGTTTTCTGACACTTGGTGAGTTCCCTGGAACACCGGGGACACATATTCATGTAGAAAAGACGTACAAACGTGCATTTTGCATAATAGGTCCCCTTTAAATCATGTTCACATGGATAGGAAACTAAATACATTTGCACACATCTTGTGTCCATATCTTTCTGTTTTGGTGGTCATGCCACAACCGTGCACGTGCATGCATGCGCGAGTCATGGCAAGATATCTGGATTAAGAGGTTGCTTTTTCTTTGCACTGCAGGAAAGAAAGGCGAAATGAATGGGCTGTGATTTTAGTTTTTTTAAGCAGAGGTCAATAATTTGTACGGCCCTCGGAGGATGTTGAACAAATTGAGAGGAAAAAGGTTCCCCACCCCTGCTCTAAACATAAGACAAAACGGACCATCGGTGGTGTTTGAAACTGCGAGCTGGTCATTATTGAGAAATAAACCCCAACGTGATGAGCAAGACTTATTTCCTAATAATGACTGGCTCGCTGTACATTATTTCACTTTGTACGCAGCTTCCTAGTAAGGATTTCAAAAGGATTTTATGGGGCTTGCCATAAAAGATTATCATGCAGGATAATGAATGTCAAAATTGCCGACACATCCAAGCCCTAATTGCTATTCAACTGGTAGTTGAGTACGTTTTTCCAGTTAGAATATTGAATGATTGTAAAATGTGTCATGTCAGTGTTGATTTTAAAATGTGTTTACTGTTCCTTCAAATCAGATATTGTGAAAACGTGTGACCTGGTTATGAAATTGTCAAATTCCTCCATATCTCTATCCATCAATGTTGTCTGGCCTCGCACAAAATGTTCTTCATACAAGCTGTACTTGCCAACATTTTACTGTGTTAAAGTTTACGTGTTTTCATAGACATATGGAGATTCTAATAATTTAGAGGATAGCCAACAGACCGCAGGTATGTTGTTAGATAGGGATGTACATTTTTGGAGGGTCAATGTAGAAGATCGAGAGCCTGTGGACATATCTTTAGTTTTTTTATTATGACAACCTTTCCTCTGCTTTCATGCCTGTTTTGGAAATGTTCAATTTTGTTTATCTCTTAGCTTCTTTCCTCAGATTGGGTTCACATCAGATCTCTGTCAGAGATGCATATGATTATTTCGGGAGTTAAATTACGACGTACCTTTATTTACTTGGGCAAACCGCCACCTCTTGGAAGACCTTATCCTGCAACAAAAGCTTCAAATCCTCAAAAGAAAAATACCTTTTTCACAGCAGATATGTTGCTACAGGAAAATCCCAGGTGTCAGTATCATGTGTATTTTGAAGCTCTACTCATTTACTTTCTTAAATCATTGCTGGCTGCAAGATACAACTAGTCTGTCTGTAGCTGCAGACACAGTTCAAACATGCAGACAATGCCGGCTGGATGAAGAATGATAAGGGATGTTTGCCATCAATACCATGTGGTGCACGTGCTGTTAAAGGTCCCATATCATGACCATTTCTATTGATCATAATTCTATTGTTGAGGTCTACTAGAATTGATTTTACATTTTTTTCCAAACTCACATTGGTTTCTCATGCAGCATCTCTGTATAGTATGTGTATTCACTCTCTGTCCTAAACGGCTTGTTGGAGCTCCTGCCCCCCCCCCTCCCTGTGAGCCCAGTGTGCTCTGATTGGTCAGCTCGCTGCTGCGAGGAGCTGACAGTGTGAGCTGGCTTACTGGTGTGGTTTCCTGCTTGCTGCGAGACAGCGACACATCGCGAATGGACGCGGGAAGGGGGGTGCTGAGGGGGCTGCAGCCCCATCTGCGAGGCTCCACTAGCACCCGCATCCCCCCCAGAGCGTCACATGTTCGCCGCTAAAAGAGTGTGTGTGTGTGAGGAGCTCCACGGATTGGTCCATTTGGGTAAGGGCACGTCACGTTACCCAGGAAGAAAACATTGGAAAAAGAAAAATCTTGAGGCGTTCTGGGGCAGCATAGACAGGTCTTTTCTGTGTTAGAGTTTTACTCGCTACAGGTTGTACTTTGAGGGTTTGTGACTTTGCAGACCGTTTACATGCAGAAAAACCTACATAACACACAAGGGGACGGGTAATAACCAGAAAAGCATGACATGGGACCTTTAAGCATGCACACACATATACAGTCAGTCTATGGCACACACACACCCTCTGCAAAAGCACCAGTCTGTGTTACTATGGTTAAAAGGGACTTG